ATGAATGTTTTCATGTTCAGGGAAAGAAGAATAAAAGAGTGGCAGGAAAAGGAATAGAAAAATGAAGTCTCCAGAACTCTGAAGATAATAAGAAAAGATGGGAGAAGGATGGCATGAAAAAGAGAGGTGAAAGAGAAGGGCTGAGTCTAATCTAGTGCTGATCCTAGTCTGTGCTGGTGTCTGACTATAAATGTCGGAATTGTCTTTGGGTCTACAGTTATTGGAAGACGTAAATGGGTGGGATAAGCAAGACACCTCACTTGCATGGACATCAGCAGGCAGGTCATTACTTGTCTGCTGGGAATTCACCTAGAGCTTCAGACAAGGGCCTACACGTTCTCCATGTGGCTTGTTTTTTTCCCAGCATGATGCCTGGACTCCCAAGAGAGCATCCTGAGTACTAAGTGGCCCCAGAACAAGCATTTCAAAAAGCCCAGGTGGGAGTTGCAAAACTTCTTATGATCTAACCTTGGAAATTGCAGAACATTACTTCCAATGCATTCCACTGGCCAAGCAAGTCACTAAAGGCAGCTCAGATTCAGAGAAAGGAATTAGGCTTCATGCTTCAGTAGGAACTGTAATAAAAATTTTGTAGCTTTCCTTAACCACAAATTGGAAAAAAAAATTCTAGAAATGAAAATCAATGTGAATGAAATTAAAAATGCAGCAGCATATAGGCATCACAGAATTTTTGACGAAGTTTAGGAAATAATTAGTAATCTGGATGATAGAACTGGAATAGACTATCCAGAAAATAAAATCCTCCAAATAATAAAAAGGTATTTTAAAAAAGACAATGGAAACCAGAAGATAATGGAATAAATTTTTCCATGAGCTGAAAGAAAATACTTTATCAACCTTAAGTCCTGGACCTAGTGAAAATATTCTTCAGGAATGTTTCACACAAACAGATTAAGATAATCCATCACCTGCAGACTCATATTAAAGGAAATACTAATGGGTTTTCACTAGGCAAAAAATGAAAATGGTCCTGGGTAGAAGTTCCCAGATACAAGAAAGAATGAAGAACACAAAAATGGCAAATGTGTGGGTAAATCTGAATAAACAGGGACTGTATCAAGTAAAAATGCTAGGAATTTTTAGGAGGGGATTCAAAATATGTAGAAATTGAAACATAATAATACTAGCATATAAATCAACTGAGGGAGTTACATAGAGTTCAAATAACCTGGGGATAAAGTAAAGCATTGATTATCATTAGAACCTGACAAGTCATGGTTATACTTTTGAGTCCAGATAAAAACTTTTCCATTTATTATAAATCAATTTTCAACAAAGGTGCCAAGAAAAGTCAGTGAGGGAAAGGATAATTTTTTCAACAAATAGTGCTGGAACAATTAGATACCCACGTGCAAATGATGAATTTAGACACTTGCCTCATACTATATACAAAAATAAATGCAAAATGGATCATAGACAAAAGTTGAGATCTAGAACTATGAAAATCCTTGAAGAAAACATAGGAGTAAATCTTCATGGTCTTGGGTTAGGCAAAGGTTTCTTAGATAGAAAGAACATCAAAATCACAAGCAATAAAAGAAAAGAATTGATAAATTGGACTTCATTAAAATAAAAAGTTTACCCTTTAGAAGACATCATAAGAAAGTGAAAAGACAAGCCACAGATTGGAAAATATTTGTAAATCATATATCTGATAAGGGATTTGTATAATAACATAGAGGGAGAGCTCTTACAACTCAGTAATAAGACAAATAATGGAGGAAAAAGTATGAATATACATTTCAGCAGAAAAGATATATGAATGGCCAATAAGTACATGAGAAGATGCTCAGTATCATTAATTATTAGGAAAATGCAAATTAAAATTATAATGAGATAATACTTCACACCCACAAAAATGACTATAATTTTTAAATTTTTAAAAACTTTTTAAAAATTAGAAAAAAAATTTTTAACAGCAACATTATTTGTAATTTCTGAGATATGGAAACACCACAAGTGCACACCAATACATGAATGGATACAGACAATGCAGCATATATACGTAATGGAGTACAACTCACCCAAAAAAAGGATATTTTGCCATTTGTGGCCCTTCATTCACTTTTTCTTTTTTTCATTTCAAAAACCAGAATTTTATAACTGGCATAAACATTTCCATTGCATCAAAAACAACAAAATACCTAGAAATAAACTTAACCAAGGAGGTTACCTATACTCTGAAAACTGAAAAACATTGATGAAGGAAACTGACTATGATACAAATAAATGTATTTTTAGGTAGGTTAGTTACGTTTCTCAACCTTGGAGAGGTAGCCCTCTGTGGGAGACATCCTGTGTGTCCCAGCAGTACGCACACTCCTCTCTTGTCACCCAAGGGCCAGGGTCCAGCCAGTCCTAATGTAGCGTCTGACCTGTGTTTGTGGATTCCTTCCACAGGCTTTGGGATTGTT